GGCTGCTGAGGGGATTGGGTGTTAGATTTATGACATTTGGTGTGAAGATGTCAATGAACCAACAGCTTCCTCACTTGTCTGGTTCAATGATTTTGTACTCTTTGTTTTCACTCTTTATCCATTTGAGTTTCTTCCTCTAATTTGTTCAACATAACTTGTTCACTTTTCATGGACCTCATAGTTTCTTCAATTCTAAAGACCTAATTGCCAATTGCAGCTTTTGCATTCTTGAATGTTGTTTTATATTTAAATTAATATTTTGCATTTGAGCCTGTCCTCTAGCATGATCTGCCCGGTAGACTTCTTTCTGTGTGCTTAGTACAATATTCACATCATCACTCTTTTTCAAGTTGGTTTGATTTGTGTATTCTATGACTTCCTTTCTTGTTTGGTTATTTAACTGGACCAGTGGATGAGTCCTAAAACACTTTTCTAAGAGAATAGTAAGCTTACTCCATTAATCCAAAATTCCCCATATGGGGCTATACATGAGGCTTTTACCCGTGTATTTTCAAGTTTACAGAAAATTAATGACAAAGTATTAATGTAACTCAACTAAGTAGCTAAGAGACCAACTGAAACTATGTGCAGAATTGTAACTTTACTCATTTTTTAAAACTCTTCCCTTTTTTTCCTGCCATATGAAATAAACCACAGCTGCGAGACAAGAAGCCTAAAGAGTCAAAGCCATCCTTCGTCTACCTTTAGGTCCTTCGCTCCCATTCCAATGACCAACTCAAAGGATTTCTCAATCACATCAAAACATTGGTGATAGGATCAGTGCATTACCTGATGAACTTCTCAATCACATTCGATCTTTGCTTTCAACTAAAGAAGCCTTTAGGACCAGTATCTTGTCAAAAAAATGGAGACTTGCTGATGGGGTCAGTGCATTACCTGATGCTCTTCTCACTCACATTCTATCTGTTCTTTCGACTAAGGAAGCAGTTTGCACAAGTATCTTGTCAAAAGGTGGAAATTTGCTTGGACTTCAATCCCAATTCTTGACTTAATGATTACGAGTTCTTCAACGATGACACTGAAGATGAGTCGGCTGCATGGCATTTTGTAAAGAGTGTCCATGATGCTTTTTTCATAACAAACTTGTTCTTCAAGGAATAAATATGGCAACTGTTAATCCTTGTTTGTTCATGAATCTTTCTTCTTCTTTGACCACTCTTGATCTGCATTTTTATGAGTTCAGAGGAAACTTTCCAAGTGGTATTTTCCTCTTTCCAAACCTCAAGGTGCTCCGTCTAGGTGCAGGAAGCCCAGAACTCAAGTGTTGATTTTCCGAGGTCCAGTCCTATCCAAGAATTGGAATTAAACCACAAGGATTGTGGGGGAAGGGAATTTCCCAAGTCAATAGGAGATCTAAAGTCATTACGTTCTTTACTTCTCTTTAGCTACAACTTGAAATGTTCCATTCCAGCTTCAATAGGGAAGTTGTCTAAGCTTAATCTTGTAAACTTCCGACATAACAATTTTTGGAGTCAAATCCCATTATTACTTACAAACGTCGCATAACTTAACTTCTGAGCAGTGCTAGGGGCACTCGCCTAAGCAGTCTCTGGCCAACACTCCCCCTTTCATTGAGCCACATATGGTTGTTTAAGCTCTGAAGTGCAACCTCTTGCTGAACTAAAATAACGTGGCCCAATGAAAGGAGGAGTGTTGCCCGGAGAGTGCAGGAGGCGAGTGCCCCTAGCAATGCTCTAACCTTCTTAATCTGTCAAATAATCAGCTTTTTGGTCTCATTTCTTGTCAAGGGAGTAGGTTTTCAATACTATCCCACCTAGACCTATCTCATAACTCACTTAATGGATCAATGCCACCTCTAGTTTTTAGTCTACCTTCGTTATAGGTCTTGGTTCTCAATTGCAACTTTCTTCAAGATCAAATAAATCAATCCCATCAAAAATCATTGACAATCATGGATTTGCACACAATAATTTGAGTGGTTTTGTAGAGTTTGAAGATGGAGAAGAAAGAGTAAGACCCGTTGACAGCTAAGTTGCAGGGGAAGAGAGAACATAGACGCTGATCACCTCAAACGATGACGGAGCCAAGCTCACTTTGTAGAGAAAGGAGACGAGAAAGACAGTTGATCCGGGTTTTATATATATATATATATATATCTTAAAGAAGCGCTTAAACCCTCATTTTGCATCCCCCAACTTTTGTGCAATGCTATTGGTTTAATTTAATAAATAGTTTAGTAATTTTTAATTTTTTTGTTTCATTTATTATTTTTAAATATTTTTATATTTATCTATTATATTTCATGTTTGTTTTATTGTAACTTAATTTATTAATTTTTTTACTAATAATTTCATTATATTTGGTTAAATTGACCTTTAACTATATCTTTTGTAAATTTTTACTTCTTAAAATTAATTTTAAGATAAAATTAATTTTGTAAACATATTCTATGGTTAATGATGATCCATTAGTATCTTTTAATACTACATGAAGACCACAATAAAAAAAGTTTGTTTTGTACTTAACCCACTACTCCGGTTATAATGCAAGTATTTGAATTTTTTTTTTTAGAAGGCTCTTCTCAAATATAGTAAAGGTGTTTAGTCAATGTTAAAAAATATTTGTTTTAAAGTACTATTTATAAGTTTGAAATTTTGTTTAAGGGAAATTTAAAAATTGTTTTTTTAAAGTGAATATTAATTAAGTTTTGAAAAAATTTTAGATGTATAATTTTTTAAAAATTTTGTCTAAAATACACTTAAATAGTTAATTTTAAGTATTTTTCTCCAATGAAATTTTATGCCTGTGAGAAAAATAATGTTTTTTAAGTTTTAACAAACACCTTTGCCAATCTAAATTGAGTTCAAAAGATGAAAGAAAAGAATAATAAACATTAACTTAATCCGGATTGTAATCTTCAATTGAATTCAAGAGATGAAAGAGAATAATGTTTCTCTTTCACTATAATCTTCAATTAATATATGAACTTTCCATGGAAAGAATACCAATTCACAAACAAGGAGTTAGAAACCCGACACGGCTACGGTGTATCTGTTATTTTACCATCTTTTCAATTAAATTTTAATTAAATAAAACAAAATAATTTATTAATAAGATTCTAATTTTTTTAAGAGTTTAAAATGGTATACATTTTTCTATGTATATATATAAAATAGATTAGAACTTAAATGAATTTTGAAATTTGAATAATAAAAATTATTTCAAAAGTCAATTAAGTCTTTTGTCAATTTTGTGTGAGAACTTCTATCTGTTAATTAGATCAAATTAAAATAATATATGCAAAAAAAATTAGAAGAGGTTTTTTTCTTTTGAGTTGCATTGGTAAAAAGCTAAAAACTTGGTTTTTCTCTCAATTCTCGATGGCCACAAACTTTTGTATCTAAGTAAAATTAAGGATTTTAAATATAATTATGTTTTTTCACTTGATTGATGAAAAACTTACGTGAAAATTTAGTTAGTATTATATTTATGATTTATGGTTGGACTCAATTTAAAATAATAATGATAACATAGGTCTAAATCTTAATTTATCAAGAAATTTTTTTTGTTTATAATTTTTTTATTCTTTGATACATACAATGCATTCTTGACTTTTTTTTATTAATTGTTCCAATTCATTTTAAAAAGATAAAAATATAAGAAATTAACAAGTACACGATTTCAATAAAAAAAAAAACTAAGAAAGAAAATGCATGCAGCTAGCAATCATGCGGTCTCTTCCACATGTAACTTTCCAAAATCAATGCTATTATGGGGCATGCATTTGTTCATATAGGAAACTTAGCAACTAATAATAATAATTCCTATATGCTCCGTTCTTTTTTAACATTCAAATTTAAACAATTTTATTGGAAAATAAATTATTTTTATGAGAATTGTATATGTTAATAAGACTAAATCTTGAGCATCAAATTAAATTATTGATAAATACAAGTAAAATGGAACTCGCGAGCTTCTCCTCTCCGTCAACCATGCTCTTGTTCGCGAGCGTGGTGGTTTAGCTGGAAACGCCGGAGATGGGGGGCAGAGGCCGGCCGAGAAAGAAAGATCCGCCGCCTAAGGGTGGTGCTGCAACAAAAACAATAGATCTGAAAGATGATAATGGGGAGCAAAATCGCATCTCAGTTGAGGAAACCAACAAAGAGCAAACAGAGGTCGTGAAGCTTGCTGCTTGCGATCCTCACCAAATGGGTCTTGAAATTGAGAAATCAGGGCATTTGAGCCCAGATCTAGGGGAGAAAGAAGGGGACGATGAAGGGATTTTGCTAGATCTAGCTGTCTCGACGCAAGGCCAGAGGAAAAGCAGATCTGATGTTGGTTCCAGGGATGAAAGAGCAGATAAGGGGAAGAACGAGGCCGGCCCCGTGGAAGGGAAAGTAGCGAAGGGGAAGAAGGGAGTGCACTCGGAGAATCAGCCGTCTGTCATCCAGATGAAGCAACCTTCTGGGGAAAAGGACGCTGGTTCTACATCCGGTACTGCGATTTCTCCTAGTGCTTGGTGGAGTGACCTGATTGAGAAGGAGAAAGGGGAATTTCAACCATCCCTAAAGCAGAAGCCACTGTGTAGTTGGGCTTCGGTTGTGGAAGGGAATAGGGATATCAGTAAAGGATGGGATTTGCAATACATAAAACCTCAAGATCCAACTGGTGCTGTGGTTATTACCGAGGATGAGTGCGTTAAAGGGTCAAAGATTTGGGAGAATGCTCTTGTTGGGTATGTTCTGGGATCTAAACCTGAGTTTAAGGATGTTGCTAATTTCGTGAATAACAGGTGGAGGGAATTCCAGGTGCCTAAGGCATTTATGTTGCGAAATGGAGTTTTCTTGTTTGATTTTGGTAATGGAGATGCAAAGCAGGCGGTGCTAGAGAGGCACTGGACATTTAATGGGCACCCTTTGATTTTGAAACAGTGGACTCCAGATTTTGATCCTGACAATTTGGATATCAGTAAGATTCCTGTCTGGATCCAATTTCCTGAACTCCATTTGAGTCTTTGGAATCCTGAGAGCTTAGGAAAGCTAGCAAGCTATGTGGGAGTTTCTATTGCAACTGATGCATTAACAGCTAAAAGGCAAAGAGTGGCTTATGCTCGTATGCTAGTGGAGATGGAAATCATTGACACTCTGCCCCGTGTAGTTCCTATTATTGGTCCTAAGGGTGTGTTCCAACAGCCTGTGGTTTTTGAATGGGAGCCTATCAGATGTGGTAAATGTAGAAACTTGGGGCATGAAGAGAGGAAATGTACTGCTAAGGAAAAAAAGGTGTGGGTTCCAAAAAAACCTGCCGAGGAGCAGGTGGTAAATCAGATAGTTGGCAAGAAGTCTATTGAGGGGAATGATGAAGTATGTGGTGGTGAAGTGCAAACTGCTACAAATGTGAAGCAGAGTACACTTTCACGTTCTTCTGGAGAGCTGATAGGGGAAAGAAATGAGCAAAGTCCAGTGCAACTGGAAGTGGGAGCTGTGAAGTCAATAAATCTGCAGAGTGAGACTAGTACTGGCACAGGGGATAAAGAGATGATGCAAAAGGCAGCAGGGGGAGAATCTTCTGTAAGTAAACCTCTCTCATGATATATCTTTCTTCATGGAATGTGAGGGGTTTAAATGACCCTATAAGACAAGTAGATGTTAAGAAGTTTATATGTGCAAATAAAGTCCAATTTATGGCTTTATTAGAAACTAGAGTGAAACAAGAGAATAGTAGTCGAGTTGTGCAAACTTTTGGTAGGCAATGGGGATGGTTGAATAATTATAACTCTCATCCTAATGGTAGAATTTGGATATTATGGAATAAAACTGTATTGAGGGTGACTGAAGTAATTCAAACAGACCAATTGTTACATGTTGAAGTATGCTCTGCAGTTGGGGATGTTAAATTTTTGTGCACAATTGTCTATTCTTTTAATACTTTTGATGGTAGACTAGCATTATGGGATCAAGTTAGAGATCTAAACGTTGAAAATGTGCCATGGATAATTTCTGGAGACTTTAATACAACTCTAAATTATGGTGAAAGGGTGAAGCCTAGTGGAGTTGTTTGGGGAGATACCTCTGAGCTCAAGGATTTTGTCAATAGAATGGAGGTTTTTGATTTGCAATTTTCAGGTGCTTTCTTCACTTGGAGTAATAAGCAAGGGGAAAATGACAGGCTGTGGTGTAAGCTGGACAGGGTAATGGCTAATTCATCATGGGTTAGTGCATTCCCAAATACTTCTGTTGTCTTTCTAAACCCACAATCCTCAGATCACTCACCCTCTTTAGTGACTATGGATGTATTGATGAACGAGAAACCAAGGCCATTTAGATTTTGCAATGCTTGGTCTAAGGATGAAAACTTCCTTGATTTGGTTAGGGAAGCTTGGAGTGTGGATGTTCAGGGCTGCCCTATGTTTGTGGTAGTGCAGAAATTGAAATTAGTAAAACAGAAGATGCAGCAGCTGCATAAAAATAGATATGGAAACTTGGAGGGAAGAATAAAAGATATGGCAGCAGAGCTACAAAATGTTCAAGCTTCCATGCAGAATGCTTTATTTGATGAGACTTTGGCTGCAAAGGAAAAGGAACTTCAATGTGAATTAACTAAGCTTGAGAGAGCAAATTTGTCCGTAATTGCCCAGCGAGCTAAAGTAACTTGGCTAAAGGAGATGGACTCTAATTCTGCTTATTTTCATGCTAAAGTAAAGGAGAGGCAACATAGAAGTGTTATTAACTCCATCCTGAACAGTGAAGGAGTGAGAGTGACTCAGCCTGAACTTATAGAACAAGAGTTTTTAATGTTCTATCAAAACTTGTTTGGAAAGGCAAAAAAAGGTGTTCAAGCAGTTGATACGAATGTTATCCGCAGGGGCAGAGTGTTAACTACTAAAGGGTCAGAAGAGTTATGCAGGCCATTTACTGCTAAGGAAGTGGAGACTGCCCTATTTTCAATTCCTTCTAACAAATCACCAGGGCTTGATGGATTCACTTCAAGGTTCTATAGAGCAGCCTGGTCAATAATTAAAAATGACGTCACGGCTGATGTGTTGGATTTCTTTGACAGTGGGAAAATCCTCAAGCAAATTAATGCCACCAATATCACTATTGTTCCGAAGGTGAGTTGCCCAAATGTTGTCAGTGATTATAGGCCAATAGCTTGTTGTAATGTTATCTACAAGGTGATATCAAAGCTCTTAACCCAGAGGATTAATGAAGTGCTGAGCATGCTAGTTAGCAGCAATCAAACTGCATTTGTGAAGGGCAGATCTATAACAACAAATTTATTGATTTGCCAAGATCTGGTGAAGAACTATCATAGAAGTAAGGGGCCAGCTAGATGCTTAATGAAAATTGATCTACAAAAAGCATATGATTCAGTGGATTGGGGTTTTGTTATTGCAATGTTAAGAGGGCTAAACTTCCATGATAGATTTATTAATTGGCTTATGCTCTGTGTCTACTACCAGATTCTCTGTATTGATAAACGGACAGCCAAAGGGTTATTTTCAGGGGAAACGAGGGCTTCGACAAGGTGATCCAATCTCGCCTTATCTATTTGTGCTAGTGATGGAATATCTCACAAGGAAATTGAAGGAG